GCCCAGACTTGTTAGTTCAAAAAGATTCCAAAAGGTGCGGCTTCGTCCTTCCTGTGCCCGCAGGGAGGAGACTGGGTGATCTCCTCCTCCTCCTCCTCTCCTCCTCCTCCTCCTCCACCACCACCAGTAACCCGCTGCTTTGTTTTCTTCTCACCTGGACGCTGCTGCTGAACGCCACTGGACCTACCTCTCTCTCTCTCCCCCAGACACCCTGGTTTTCATCTTACTCCTCCTTTGCCTTTAGCCCCTCTCCCCCCACCTTTTGTGCACCTCTCCCGGCTCCCTCTTTCCCACCCTGCCTGACCCCCTACAGACCACCTGCCTCACTTTCTGCATTCCTTTGGGGGACTAATTTTGGTCTTCGCGCTTGCTCACTTGCTTTTGCCAGAGGTGGGGAGAAAGAAAGAAAGAAAGAAAGAGAAAGAAAGAAAAGGGCAACTAGAATACAGCCCTTCTCCAGGACAGCCCTCTTCAGTTCCATCGGTGCAAGCTCATGCTTTTCTTCTGATCTGGCTCTTCTTTTCTTATCCGAGGCACAGTTAAGCTAACACAGCTTTCAAGATGAGCATGAATGGCGGATCCCATCCCAGGCTCAACACCTTGGGCAGGATGATCAGAGCGGAGTCCGGCCCGGATATGCGCTACGAAATGAACTCCCACATGATGGGCGGCGGCGGCGGCGGGGGAAGCAGCCATACTCACAAAATGTATTACGTCCAGAAAAGCTACGTCGGGGACATCAACTCAGAAGGATATACGTAAGTGCAACACAAATCTCACGTATCTACCTCTCCTGGTGTTTACGTGTGGCTAGGGTTCCCCCCCCCCCGCAAATAAATAAAGTTGCCCTGTTAAGGAGGAACGGACACATCCCATCACGGGCAGCTATAGTTGGTTGCTGAAAGCTATGATGGCTTATCATTGACTTCTGGAATATAAATACTGTGCTGATTTAGTTCTGCCTCTGGGTGAAGAAAGAAGAGCTAGTTGCAGTTCATTTTGTCCTCTGTTTCCACACTCTGTTTTCTTTGTGGAGAAGAAAATTGCTCTGCATTTGGACTATGGGGAAATTATTTCCTATGAGACCTTAGAAAAAAAAAAAGCTTAGGGCAAAGTTCAGAGCTTTTGGTTGCAATTTTTGATGATACAGTGGCTTTTGGCAGTCTGTAGTTTTGGGTTATGGCTATTGAATTGTAGAATAAGGGGGAGATCAGATGGATGATTCACCCATCTGTACAGTATCTTTAGTTTTGTGGAGAGCATAAAGTTTTCTGATGACTAATGTCCTTATTGCTTGCATGGCTGTGTTTACAGTAACTCCAGCATCAAAAGGATAGTAGAGTTTCTTTATATCAACACCCTTCCAACTCCTTTACAGTTTATCAAGATTAAGGTGGGAAAGCTGTTTAGTGCTTTCAAGAGAGTCATACAAAAGAATAGTTTGGCTTTTGTTGATCCACTAAGAAGGTTTTTTTTTAATTATTGTTTCCTTGAGAAAAAAAGTGTAACACTACTTCCTATGCCTTATTTTTCCTGTTGAGGGGGAGCACTGTTGTTTAGGAAGCTGTGTGCTACGAGCCACCTTACATGTTACGTTTTTATATGTATATATGAAAAGTGCAATACAAATTAAACGTGTTGCAAACCATCAGATCCTACTCAGCAGGGAGCAGTTATTGATCTTGGCTCTTCCTTGACTGTATACTTTGTACAAACTGCTCTCTTTATATATTATAGGATCACAAACCATTCACATGCATATAATGAGAGAGGGCAGGCACCTGTGGCTTGCCTGTGCATGTAAAGCATGAAGGAGTGTCATATATGACAAGTATATGAGATTCAGTCTGTTCCCAACAACAAATTGCTTCTGCAGAAAAAATAAGTAGCATGAAGAGTAGTCCCTTTGACTGGTTTTTGTACTATTTATTTCACTTGGTTACCAGGGCTTGTTTTCACTGGTGTGACTCATTGGTAGAACCAGCAAATAATATTTCAGATTAAAAATCAACAGCCTTTAGAGAGGTGTGAATCTTGGCTTCTCCCATTCCCAAATTAGTAGTTGATTTTGTAATCAAATTTTGCGGAAGTTTCTTTTCTTCCCTTTCTTTTTAGAGCGACCATCTTTTTTGCTTGATGAGGCTCAGTAGAGTTCTTTCTCTGAATAGCAAAATTGGAAAGTTTCTCATAGCTCTTCCATTTTTGTACCCTATCTCCTTATAGTATTGCTGTGGTTCATTGTATGGTGTAATGCTCTAGCAGTGTTGATAAACTATTAAAGGAAATTAAGAATGTTACTCCAGTTGTGTGAACCATTAAAACACAAATTTACAGTGTCCATGTTAAAAGGTACCTGTTTATATTTCAAAATTTAGATTCCCCTTTGTGGATGGGCATACATCCAAAGGCAGCTGGTAAAACATCATGCTTGTTTTTAACTTCCTACTGGGCTTAATGTTTGGGTCATTCCTTTCTCAACCCTCCCTGCTTTTCCTTGGAAAATTTATTTCTTGGCTCATGTTGTTTTTTTCCTCTGAGGGACTGGGTGTAGACAGTTTACTGAGAACTTTATATAGACTATATATTCATTGTTAATCTATCATATATTAACTTTCAATGAACCTTGGTATACATTTATAGTATGGTCATTGAAAAGCTGTCTTCTTCTTCTATTTGAGCATATTGAGACCTTGTAGAAGCCTAAGCCATAAAACAAAAGGAACTAATACTCTGAGGTTGTATAAATGCTTCAGATAAACTCTTGTCTCTCTTGTATACCCTTCAAATCTGCATGCTTAAGATTTAAAGCTCAACTCTCAATCAAGATGCAACATACATCCTAGTTTGCCTTAAGTTGTTGCTAACCCCCACTGTGCACGCAGAAAGAAGTGAGCATCATGCAGCATTTTCCTAAAAGCACCTATGGAAAAATTATGAGAAGTACCCTATTTTTAGAGGAATTTTACATAATCTTGCCTATCACTGGTAACAATGGAGTCAATTATTTACTTGTTATTTACTGCATTTTTATACTGCCTGATACCAAATATTAGTAAAGTGTGTGTGTGGATGAAATAGCAAAAATCAAACAACACTAATTAACTCTGAGAGTCAGTTTGGTGTAGTGGTTAAGGCATCAGGCTAGAAACTGGGAGGATTGTGATTTTCTAGTCCCATCTTAGGCACAAAGCCAGCTGGGTGACCTTGGGCCAGTCACTCTCTTTTAGCTCCAGGAAAGAGGCAATGGCAAACCACTTCTGAAAAACCTTGCCAAGAAAACTGCAGGGACTAGTCCAGGCAGTTGCCAGTAGTCAAAACTGACTTGAAGGTATACACATACAATTAACTCTAGTTGATTAGTTGCCCCATCATTAGTATAATAAGCATATTTATGGTCTTCAGAGTATTAAACAAAGTCACTCTCTTTTAGCTCCAGGAAAGAGGCAATGGCAAACCACTTCTGAAAAACCTTGCCAAGAAAACTGCAGGGACTAGTCCAGGCAGTTGCCAGTAGTCAAAACTGACTTGAAGGTATACACATACAATTAACTCTAGTTGATTAGTTGCCCCATCATTAGTATAATAAGCATATTTATGGTCTTCAGAGTATTAAACAAACCTAGTTTGGTAACTATTATGCAAAAACATTCAGCAAAATCAGTACATTTTATGAACATGCATCTCTATGGATTCAGAATAAGTAGAAATTTAATAGAGTTAACATCCTTCCAGCTTCAGATACAATGGAGAAACATGTTTTCTGCTGAATTTCTGTTATTTAACTGTTGAACCCATAGGAGCTTTACAAAAATAAAAATTGGTAATACCACATGGGATTTAGGAAAACTTTGTATTTGAACTTAGTGCCAAGATGTTGAAAAATGTAGTCAAACATGCCTTAGTTTGAACATGCCATTGTTCATTGTTAGGTTAAAAAAAAGGGTGAGGATTGGAAAAACACTAAAGAAGTCCAAATACTAAAAAAGAAATTTATTCCAAGATGTGTGCATTCTAGATTAATCCTTCCAATAGGAGTTCTTAGTTTCAGGAACAGTAATTGCTCTGGGTTGTTTGGAAATATTGGTTCTTAGGCTTGGTTGAGTAGATATGTACTTTGAAGTCTAATAGATTTAAACTCTTTATAAATGCATGTAATTCTCTTTTCTCAGTCTGTATTAGTGGTGTACAGATCTAGTTCCAATAGAGAAAGCGTCTTCAAGAATTTCATTTGAGAGAATTGGGTATTTAAACATTTACAAACATCACCGTGTACATTACTTTAAAGGAACTGCTGATCAGTTGCAATTTAGGAGATAAGTTAGAAGCACAGAGAATATTCAGGTTGAGTTTGATTAATATTTTTAGTATTCTCTTATTAAATTTATTTGGGAAAAAATGGTTTATGATTGTATACAGATTTAAAACCATTTATTTTTATTTACCTAAATGATTTATATGTCAGTTTGGAATCGGGCGGTGCCAAAATTGAATCAAATAAATATGACAAGTCATCTCACTCCATTTATTTTAGAAGTTATCAGGAATTTCTGTACTGTGAGATTTGCTGATGAATGCTGCCAGATAGACTCTTATAGATATTTGGTTTAATTTTTAACAAATTTATTTAGTTCTTCTCATGAATTCATTGCGTGAGTTAAATTAAATGACAGAAATAGAGAGTGGAGGCAGTACATCTGAAAACAATAACCAGTTTTTTTTAAAAGGCAATTAGAGCAACTTCTTTTCATGCAAAAAATGAATGGAATTGCTTAGGTGTATACAGCCTTTTTTCAGATGTTAACAGTTATGCAATTTTTTCTTTTTCTTTTTTTGAAAAACGGCTGTTTTCTTCATTGTTCCTAGGTGTCTTTTTGCCTGCATCATCTTGATCTTCTCTGGCTACCCATACTTAGTATTTATTCAGTTCTTTAGGAATGTTTCACTCTTCAACATTAGGCATTTAGGGATAGTTGTAACATTTGAGGAATTTTGCATACTGAAGTATAGAAGTATTGGCATATAAATTTATAAATGCAAAAATTACTATTTATTCATCAGAGTTTCAGCAGACTTGCCTTTGAGGTTGGGTTCTGGTTTTGTTAAACTTTATTTTTATTTTAGTTTTGTTTGTTCAGCTTCCAGCTTGTACTTTACTGAAATAACCGTGCCAGCCTCTCCCTCCCCCAAGGGTTGAGTAAGCTGTCTGTCCTCAGTGTCTCAGTTGTGGGAATCTAGGAACAATTTGGTTTCTGCAGTAGTTTAATTGACATGGCCTAGTGTCAATCAATGGTTAGTTTATATATTTCTCTTTGGGGTTGGGAGATGGTGATTGAAACCTACATGACTCAGCCAATGTCCTGGATATTAGAATGATGATTTGAACCTGGATTTTTCTAGTACAATGTATAACCATTCCCTGGGATGGACCATTTTCAGCCACAGATTGAGCTGCTCAAATTGGCAAATTGTGAAGGCACAATTTCCCTATTCTTTTTTCAAAATAAAAGTAGATAAATATGTGAACACATAAGGACATAAAAATTTCTCAACCTTGCCAACTTGCTGTGAGTTTGTTGCATCACAGATCTACCTATTGCCCTTGACTGCTAATTTATTTTGCAGTCCTGGTCATCAGAATGTTTCTCACCTGTGCTTTAACACTGTACTGGTCATAGGATGATGCCTTATACGAAAGAGATCATAGTCCTCTAGTATGGAGGTGCCAGAGTTTGGCATGAAGCATTTTGTGATGCTTCAT